ATTATTGATCAGGAGACTCAATAGCAGAAAGATATTGATACTCTACAAGTTAAAATTTGTGATCCCAATAAAATTCTCTTCTGTGCTGTGCTGTGCTATGCTGTCTGACTCTTTCAGACTCCATGGACTATAGCCCACCAGGCTCCTCGGTCCATCAGGATTCTCTAGGCAAGAATACTGGAGTGGGTTGCCATGCTCTCCTCCAGGGGATCTTCCCAACCCATAGATTGAACCCAGGTCTCCTGCATTGCAGGCAGACTCTTTCCCATCTGAGCCACCAGGGAAGCCCAATAACATTGGAGTGGGTAGCCTATCCCTCCTCCAGGGGAACTTCCTGACCCAGGAATTGAATCAGGGTCTCCTGCATTGAAGGCAGATTCTTCTACCAGGGAATTATCTTCAGGTTATTAATTTTTTTCTGGAGCCAGACTGATTATATATTATTTTGGAAAATAAATACAAGACTAACCAGAAATCTCCTAAAAAAGAAGAGAAATGGGAGACTAGCCCTACTTCACTTTGAAACATTTATTAAAACTCTCTTATTGAATGAAACAATACCATTTTCAGCAACATGAATAGAGTAGATGTGCCTAGAGCTGGCTGTGCTCTGCAATGAGAAGCTACTGCAATGAGAATCTCATGCTCCACAACTAGAGAGTAGCACCCAATCTCTGAGCTGGAGAAAGCAGCAACAAAGACCCAGCAGAGCCAAAAAAAGAAGATACAGACTCACAGATATAGAAAGCAAACTTAAGGTGACCAAAAGGGAAAGGGGATGGGGGAGGGATAAATTAAGAATTTGGGAAAAGCAGATACAAACTGCAATGTATAAAATAGGTAAACAAAAAGGTCTCACTGTATAGCACAGGGAACTATATTCAATATACTGTAATAAATCATAATGGGAAAGAATATATTTATTCATATAGTATATATATGAATCACTTTGTTGTACATCAGAAACTAATACAATATTGTAAATCAACTCTAGCTTTTAAAAACTCTTTTATTAAAACATGGTATTGGTGCATAAATAGATAAATAATTAATTGAACAGGATATGAAATCTAAAGATAGATTCCAAAAATATACAGACATTTAATGTTTGATAGACAAATGGTGTTGGAACAACTGATGGTCAAGTGGATAAAGATAAAATTGGATCCATTCTTCATGACTTGCACTTGGATAAATTCCAAGTGAGTCAGATATCTAAATGTAAAAATAGAAAGTCATACAAATACTAGAGGATAACAAAGGTCAATTTTTTTACAACTTAGAAATGAGGAGGATTTTCCTGTGATTCCATATCTGGATTCACTAACAGAAAGATGGGTAAATTTATCTACCTGAAACTTTCAAAAATTAAAAAATTGCATGCCTGAAATACCACAAGCAGTGTCAAAGTTAAATAAAAATCAAGACAAAATTGTAACAAATATCACAAAAGGCCAATACCCCTAATATGTAAAATTTTTCTAAATATTGAAAAGAAATTCAAATCTTGGTCTAACAATCCAGTAATAAATGCACAAGTTAAAGAAAAGTAAATGCAAATAACTCTTAAGTATATGAAAAGATGCTTAACTTTGATTTGCTATTTATATAGTAAGATAAATATATATTAACACTAAAATAAGATAACACTACTTACCTATCAGATTTGCAAAAATCACAAACTTGATAACACACTAAGCTGGTGAGACTGTGCAGAAACAGGTACTTTCATGTATTGCTGATGGAGATGAGAAATGGTACAACTGTGGAGGGAGATTTGACATTGGCTAGCAAAATTATGTGTGCATTCATTCTGTGCCCAAGAAACCTCCCTCCTAGGTAAGACAAAATGGCAAAAACATGAAATGAAAAATGCTCAAGGCTATTTATTGCAGCACACTTTGTAATAATACAAGAGTATCAACAGTTCACATGTCTATCTATAGAGGACAGGTGAATAAACAATGGTAAATACATGCATTGGGGTATTCATCAGTGTAAAAAGAAGACTATTTCTACATATTGCTAAAGAGTGACCTCCAGGATAAAAGTGCAAAAAACCAACATGCAGGAGAGTATGTATAGTATTATATTTTTTGTATAAGAATGGAAAAAGTATATATATATACACATACATATATATATATATATACACACAAACACACACATATATATATACAAAATTATAAAGTGCATAAACCAAAAACTAATAAATAAAAATGATTACCTATAAGGAAAAGGGTATGGATGTATCTCCCTGAATGTACCTTATTTTATACTTTTGATATAATAAAACATACACACAATTAAAAAAACAAAACTTAACCACAAAGAAAAAAGCAATAATTCCTTACTACGGCCATCATGCTGAAGGTTGTCAGACTTTGTGCCCAAACTTTTGCCTTAGAGTCGTATGCTTGTTGCAGCAATGTCCTATACGAAGTGAGGGCAGAAACAAAATACCATTAATAGGTATAAGGAAGACTTTAAAATAAAGGGAAATGCATATGCCATTTTTGTTTTTAATTAGGAAACTTGTATTTATTTTATTATTTATTTATTTGGCTGCACAGCCTGTGGGATCTTAGCTCCTTGACCATGGATCGAACCTGTGCCCCTGCATTGGAAGTGGAGAATCTTAATCACTGGACCTCCAGAGAAGTCCCAGGAAGCTTGTATTTTAGCTTGGAAATGCACTTTATGCAATATCAAGATAAATGCAAAATGGGAAAAATACAGTGTTGCGCCTTAAGCTTGGCAGATTTTTGCCTTTGGTTCGTATGATTCTGACCAAAACGGACAATTCTGTTCTTTCTATCTCTGGCTGTGCTGGGTCTTCGCTGCTGCGCAGGCTTTTCTCTAGTTTCGGTGAGGGGGTGGGGTGCCACCATTCAGTTGCTATGCGCAGGCCCCTCCCCTTGCAGAGCAGGGGCTCCCGGGCACCGACCTATGTAATTGCAGTGGGTGGGCTCAGAAGTTGCTATTCCTGGGCTCCAGCGCACAGGCTCCATAGTTGCAAGCACAGGGGCCCAGTCGCTCCGTGGCATGTGGCATCCTCCTGAACTAGGGATCCCATCCATGCCTCCTGCATTGCCAGGCAGATTCCTCACTGCTGGGTCACCAGGGAAGGCCTACAATTCTATTCTGATGTGCGCTTTTAATCTATTCAAGTTCATTTACTCAATTTATTAATTTTCTTAGACTAGTCTGAATAATATGTGACTCCTTGGCTAAGGCTTTTTCCTTCTATTTAGAAACGTGATGTCTATTTTGGGAACTAGAAAAAACACAAGTTACTTCAATAGAAAAGACTGTATTTAATTTAGAAAATGAGAGAGACTTAAGAGATCTTAAGTCTTGCAACCAAATGCAATATGTACATTGCATTGTAAATTGTACATTGTACATTGCAAGATCTTGTTTAGATCTTGATTTAAATAAATCAAATATAAAAAGGCATTTTGAGACCATTGGGAAAAACTGAACATGGACTATTAGATGATATTAAGGAGTTAATTGTTGATTTTGGGGAGAAAGATAAGGAAATTGTGATTATGTTATGTTTATAAAATTACTCTATATTACTGAAGAATTTACAAAGTGGAACTATATGCTGTCTTGGATTGTTTTAGAATACTCCAGCCAAAGAAAAAAGGTAGTAGTAGGAAGGATAGAGTATAAATAACAAGAATAGAATGTTGATTACTGTTGAAGCTGGAAAATAGGTGCTTTGAGGCTTATTATACTATTCTCTCTGCTTTATGTATATTCAAATTTTCCATAATAAAAAGGTGTGAATTCTGTCACTCCTATATCTCCCCAGGTGAAGCCATTGAACTCAAAAGAGCAAGATCAAATGTTAGACCAAATAAAATTTTTGTAACATAAATTACTTTCTTTAAGTTGCTTTCTTTGGTCTTGAAATCCTTTTAACAGATAGAAGTTAAAATATTATGGAAAAATAAAAGACAGTCTGTTAATCTCATATGCTTCCCATGAGAAGGGTAAAGAGTTATATGGCAGTTTTATGGGACTCAGAACCTAATATAGAAAATTTTCCTAAAGGACTCTCTAACACTCCATCCTTCCTTTTCTTCTTGTCTTTAAATTTTTAAAATCGGAATGGGATGCAGATGGGGAAAAAATGGATGCATGAAAAAAATCTCCTATTTGACTAGTTAGAGCAAAGTAAAGAATGGGGCTGGTGGCCTTTGGTCTGAGATACTCTGGTGTGATAGAAACAAGCATACAACAAATCTGCAGGTACAATCCTCTGAAGTTGTCAGCTAACTTTATCCTAACAGAGTATCGTTTAGAAAGCGTGTCAAATTCGGCAAATGGCTCTCTTGGGAACCAGCACTTGGCACGCTCCTGGACTGCAGCAGAGCACAACACTTAACCATGAAATACTTGGTGATTGGTTATTCATCCCCAACTGATCTCAAACCCTAAAACAGAGGGCATCTCATCCATCGAGTGGAAGTGGTCCTACAAGACCAGGCTCAAGTCTGAATGCGCATGAAAGTTGCACAGACTAACTGTTTACATTCCTAACGTGTCCACTCTCATCACATGCCATCCATCCCTCAGCCAACGTCAGTGACCTCACAGAGAGTTTCCTATGACCAGTGAGCCAGGAAAGGAAACATTTCAACTTTTTACAGAATGCTCAGCACAAGACACTGGTAGTGGCCAGCAGCATACTACTGCGTCACGTATTACTTTCAGAGTGTCCCGGACAGACTACAGACAGGGGAAATGCTTCTAGTGGGCAGAACTCAAGTAGCACAGCTTGTTGTCCACTCTCCTTGTTAGGGAAGCTGTTCCGAGGTAAGGCCCCCCCAAGGACACGCAAAAAGTGGTAAACTATTAACTCTATGGTCAAGGACTTGGAAGGGACAAGATAAGAAAATCGATGACAAGGAAGATTGGAGAAGGGGTATGTAGGTAGATTTAGGTCCCTCTTAAAATGGGTCTAGTTTATGAAGGTATTTATTCACCTTGAGAATCTTCAGAATGGAGGAGACGCTCCATAACCTGTTGAACAAGAAGACCTGTTCCATGGATGTCAGTCAGCCTCCCTCCCCAGTCACTCCAGTACTTGCCCAATGGATTCATAAATTAAATTGAGCCCAGCTGAATCACATGGACTTCCCCTTCCCAAGGTTGACATGTTTATTGCCATTGAAGTGAAGGGTTAGTCACTCAGTTGTCTGACTATTTGTAACCCCATGGAGTATAGCCCACAAGTTTCCTTTGTCCATGGAATTCTCCTGGCAAGAATACTGGAGTGGGTAGCCATTCCTTTCTCCAGTGGTTCTTTCCAACCCAGGGATCGAACCCAGGTCTTCCACATTGCAAACAGATTCTTTTCTGCCTGAGCCACCAGGGAAGCCCTTATTGCCATTACTGAGGCCTGATTTATCAGCAAGTCACAAAATTCTTAGCCCCCTGCCCTTGGGGACAGTCAGGCACCTGGAGGTAGTCAGGCACCTGTAGTGCCTGGACTGTCAGGCACTACAAATCAAACATAGTAGTGATTTAATCCCCATGGAAATAGATACTTATTCTGATTTGGATTTGATCCCCCTGCTCACCATGTCTCTGGAAGCACTACTGCCCCAAGGTTGTTCAGTGCCTTATGCTGTTATTCTAACTCATACATATGAATCATGTTCATTTAAATGCACAAAGAAACCCAACACATTTTGAATATGGAATTCCATTAGCCATAGGTCTATCTTATTCTTATGCATGAAAGAAAAGAGAAAATTTCCAGTCATGTCCAATGAAGAGTACATCTGTGAAACTGCAATATGTCTGGAGTCCTTGAAAATAGTTTTTTCTCAGTTGTTGGAAAGATGCTGTTCCCTTGAAGATTTATTATGTTCTAGGTAGTGGAGCCAGAGTCCCCTAAAATTTTGTAATAATTTTCACTAAAGCATTGCGGCTCTCTTAGGCTACACAGGAAAGATAGTTGCTCTGTTTGCAGGCATCTACTGAAGAACAGAAGAGCAATAGGTCATCACTGTGTCAGATGAGACTAAACAACCAGGAAACATAATATTTAAACCCTTTCAAAGCATTTAGAAAAAACAGATAGTCTCTGGAATGTTTTCTTAGTACTCTGGAACAGAGAAAAAGGTAGAACCCAAGGTTGTGACTGTGAAATATTTAGCAGCATTATGACTGGAAATGAAGGCAGTATTGCTTCATTAACAGTGGACATCTTTGATTAAAAAAACATATTTTGACTAATTTTGTGACCTTCATAGAGGTATCCAGGTACAGAAAGGCTCTTGTTTGAAAAATACTTTCCTTTAAAAGTGATATAATTACAGAAAGGAGACCTGCTTCCAGATGCAATAGATTCTATACTAGTTTGCCTGGGCTGCCATGACAAAATATTACAGACTGAATGACTTACAAGATAGATATTCATTTTCTCACAGTTTTGGAGGCTAGAAGTCCAAGATCAAGGTGTTGGCAGGGTTAGTTTCTTCTGAGACCTCTCTCCTTGTCCTATAGATGGCTGACTTCTCCCTGCATCTTTCCTCTGTGCATGTCTGTGTCCAAATTTCCTCTTCTTATAAAGATAGCAAGGACTTTCCTGTGGTCCAGTGGCTATGACTCTATGCTCCCAATGCAGGGAGCCTGGGTTTGATCCCTGGCTCCGGGAACTAGATCCCACATTGCAGCCACTAGAAAGATCTCACATGCTGCAACACAGCCAATGAAATAAATAAATAAATAAATAATAAACATACTAGTCATATTAGTGACTAATACCAAGATTAGGACACACCCTAATCACCTCAATTTTAGCTTACTTCTTTAAAGATCTTATCTCCAAATACAGTCACATTCTGAAATAACTGGGGGTTAATATGTTAAAACACTGTCTTTTTGGATTTAAAGGGAACACAATTCAGCTCCTAGCAGGTACTTGGAGAATAGATTTATGCACAAGAAATGGTCACTGCAGGGCCCTACCCTGACAGTCTTGTTTTCCCTTTATCTGCTCTGTGTGCCTTCCCCCAAGCTTCTGCATGCTGTGGTGCTAAAATCTTACACTGTGGCAAAGCATGCATTGCCCTACCTTTACCCTACCATACAGAGGGCTAGAAGTGCCTGGGAGTCTTATAAGTCCACCTGCTTCCCTCCCTTCCTTTCCTAGGGGAATGTGGTGTCATCCAGAAATCCTCTCCATCCGGTCTACATCAGGTTGACAGGAAACAAAGCATTTAATAAAAAATGCTGAATGGCCCTAAGGTAACATTTGCAGGGAGAGAGTTGGAAGAAGTCACACTTTGATTAGTAATCCCCACAATATTAGATATTTTTGAAGAGAGAGGAATAAGCCAAAACTTGCCTGAGCTGAACATGGGGACAAGCCCTTGACTTGGGTGTCACCTAGTATATGGAAAACAGGAAAACCTGAGTGACGTAGGAGTTCTGCCCCATGTAGAAATGACCTTCTAATGCCTCAGCTCCCGTAAGAGGAGGGCAGATTTTGGGGGTGAGTCTTGATTCTGAGCCCACTAAAGAGGTGGCCCCCAAGGAATTACTTCTGACTGAGGTCGGTATGGGTACTTATTTTTTCCAGAACTCTCTGCCTGTAGAAATGTAAACTTTTCCACTCAAAATCTTTGGTAAAAGTCTGTCCTACTCTTTCCTTTGTAATTTTTTTTGTCTTCTCCCATTATTTCAATTTTCTTTCTTTTTTTAATTATTTATGTTGGCTGTGCTGGGTCTTCATTGCTGTTCATGGGCTTTCTCTAGTTGTGGTGAGAAGGGTCTACTCTCCATTGCTATGCTCAGGCTTCTCATTGGGGTGGCTTCTCTTGTTGCAGAGAAGGGGCTCTAGAGTGTGAGTCTGCACTCTTTAAAAAATGTCAAGATGATTAAAAGCAAGGAAAGACCAAAGAGCTGTTGCATATTGAAAGAGAATAAAGAGACATAAGAACTAAATGCATGATTCTGGTTTGGACGTTGGACCTATAGAAAATATCAGAATAATAGTGATGTGAGTGGGGCATATAAATTACATAGTCAAATTGCACTAATGTTAATTTTCTGGTTTGTTGATTGGTTTTACTGTGGAGTAAATTGACACTATAGGATAGTACCAATGTATTAATGGAGCATTGTGTGCAACCTAACTTTTAAATGGTTCAGGAAAAAAACAAGTATGTCTACATATATACAGAGAGGCAGAATTACAATAAGGATGATAAGGTAGATGTGGCAAAATACTAAAACTTGGGGAATTTGGTTGGACATATAGGAGTCCTGTGTACTATTCCTGCAACTTTTCTGTAAGTTTGAAATGATTTCAAAATAAAACTTTTTTTTTTCAAAAAGTAATTTTGGGGTTCCATAATTTTCCTAAAATCTCCACTCTCCATCTCTCAATCAACTCATGCTTTCTTTCAGAAGGAAAAAACAAAGATGTCATGAACTCAGAGAGTTGAAGATCTTGCTAAACTCACAATCTAGAGACTTTAACAAAATCTTCCTCTAATGTAACATGTTCTCTTTCCCCAAAGCCAAGTGCTGGTGAGTATCTCAGTCAAGGCACCGAGTTTTTAAGCAGAGACAGCCCCATGTGAGGATTTTATTATTTGAGAATATTTATTCTTATTTTAATACATCTGCTGCTTCCATTGTCCAACTGGGTTAAGAGATTAGCTTAAGCTTAGCACAGGAGCTAATATCCACAGATAAAAATGCCTTTTTTTTCTATTACATAAGCTTTTGTCTACTTCCTTATTTGGCTTTGGTAATAGATTGGATCAGTGCTTCCATTTCTTTTTCTTTTTTAAAAAAAATATTTCTTGTAATTGGAGTCTAATTACAATATTGTGGTGGTTTTTGACATACATTCACACGAACCAGCCATGGGTGTACATGTGCTCCCCATCCTGACCCCCGCTTCCCTCCCCATCTCATCCCTCAGGGTCTTCCCAGTGCACCAGCCCTGGGCACACTCTCTCATACATCGAACCTGGACTGGCGATCTATTTCACATATGGTAATATACGTGTTTCAGTGCTATTCTCTCAAATCATCCCACCCTTGCCTTCTCACTCAGAGTCCAACAGTCTGTTCTTTACATCTGTGTCTCTTTTGCTGTCTCATATATAGGGTCATCATTACCATCTTTCTAAGTTCCATATATATGTCTTAATATACTGTATTGCTGTTTTTCTTTCTGACTTACTTCACTCTGTATAATAGGCTCCAGTTTCATCCACCTCATTAGAACTGATTCAAACACATTCTTTTTAATAGCTGAGTAATATTCCATTGTGTATATGTACCACAGCTTTCTTATCCATTCATCTGCCAATGGACATCTACGTTACTTCCATGTCCTGGCTATTATAAACAGTGCTGTGATGAACATTTGGGTACACGTGTCCTTTCAATTCTGGTTTCTTCAGTGTGTATGCCCAGCAGTGGGATTGCTGGGTGATATGGTACTTCTATTTCCAGTTTTTAAAGGAATCTCCACACTGCTCTCCATAGTGGCTGTACTAGTTTGCATTCCCACCAACAGTATAAGACAGTAACTTTTTCTCTGCACCCTCTCCAGAATTTATTGTTTGTAGACTTTTTGATAGCAGTCATTCTCTCTGATGTGAGATGGTACCTCATGGTGGTTTTGATTTGCATTTCTCTGATAATGAGTGATGTTGACCATCTTTTCATGTGTTTATTAGCCATCTGTATGTCTTCTGTGGAGAAATGTCTGTTTAGTTCTTTGGCCCAATTTTTGATTGGGTTGTTTATTTTTCTGGAATTGAGCTGCAGGAGCTGCTTGTATATTTTTGAGATTAATTCTTTGTCATTTGCTTCTTTTGATATTATTTCCTCCCATTCTGAAAGCTGTCTTTTCACCTTGCTTATAGTTTCTTTTGTTGTTCAGCTTTTAATTTTAATTAAGTCCCATTTGTTTATTTTTGCTTTTATTTCCATTACTCTGGGGGAGGTGGGTCATAGAGGATTCTGCTTTGATTTATGTCAGGGAGTGTTTTGCCTATATTTTCCTCTAAGAGTT